TATCATAACTAAGGAAAACTATAACTATAACTAACTATTCTTAACTCCATCAAAGACTCCAGAAAGATACAATACTACCTAAGCAAACAAGAAAAAAAGCAACTTTTAAAACTCTAGAAATGACAGAGACATCTCGCTGCCTGGACAGTCACCCAAAGTTCCTCTGTACCGTTGGGGCATCCATCTTCAGCCTTTAGGCCCATGGTATCCAGCAGACATTTCCATAAAGCAGGAAAATTCAAAGTCAATTCAGTCACTATCTGTTGTGTCCTGCAGAATGTCTCGCAGACTCTTTCATGAATCAGGAACCCCGAAAGATCATCTCACCTTAGGCAAGTTCAGTAGTCCTCTCTCTGCGGGTTCTCTGTGTCCAGTTTATGCAATAGTCCAGGCAAGAGCAGTTTCTTGCCCAAATGGCTATCAAACTCCATAAGGTGCCTCTTCGATGCCCATCTTCCTCTTGAAGTAGATTGGTGCTGCCAGGAGCAGAGTGTCTCATTGTCATGAAAATTCCTAAGTTATTAAAACAGTAAACGTCCTATTCTGTAATCTTTGAAAGACATGAAGAATGTCTATCTAAAATATATCTCTATATATCTAGAAAATCTAACTAACATGACTACAAGCTTTACTATTATCGATGATTATCCATTAACAACCTATATATATTACATTTTTAAATGAACTACACAATCACAACACCTTAATCAATATCAGAAATACATATACATATAACAAAATTTACCTTAAATCTCTATCAATAAAGCAAAATCTATACTAATGCAAATTATTCATACCTATATCATATCCCCCTTTAAATGGAAAAGGACATTTATAAACCATATTTGGGAACATGGGCGCAGTTTTTTCTCTCCAAACTGCTTCCTGCTGAATGGGGGCGTCGTTAATTAGGTCTTTCATGGTACAACCTGTGTGCTAGTTTCATCTCAGTTGGCAGTTGAGCGAAGCAATTTTTTGAAGGCGTTCACACCAACCCTTCAGGAGGGCGTGGTCCATCATACCAAATCGGAATAAATGCAATCCACAAGGTCTGATCCTCTGTGAAAACAAAAGAAGAATCTCTTTTCCAAAGTATCATATCCTTAGATCCAAATTTTGAAATCATACCCTCATGATATCCGTTCTGGTTCCACTTGGCAGCCCATATAATGAAATGTCTCTCTGTACTTAGCTCCTTCACAGTCAAAAATTTTAAAGAAAACACAATGTACATAATCCAGACTCTCTGTGAATTTTCCATTTTATGTGGCTTATTTTTCTTTATTTCTTTTAATCTCTTAACTATCTGTACTCTGTCTCTTTAAAGACTTTACTTTTACTTTTTTAAACCATTAACTTTATTCTCTATATTCTTTTTCTTCTCTCTCCCAAGCCTACGTACATTCATCCACAGTGTGACTCATTTAGTGGTCTGAATCTGTCCTATTGTGAATCTGCAATTTTTTACTATCCAGGGGCACTTTTGATTTGCGCCTTTAAATCACTAGGCGCTTTAGAATCTAAGCTGTGACATTCCTAGGTTAACTTTTTGCATCTTGAGCGTATATCTTTGACCTGGAATATCTCTGTAGACCAGGCTGTCTTTGAACTCTCAGAGATCCGCCTGTCTCTGCCTCTCAGGCAGTGGGATTAAAGGTGTTTGCTACTACACCTTGAACTCACAGAGATCTGTTTGTCTCTGCCTTCTAGGCACTGGGATTAAAGGCGTGTGCTACCACACACAACAACTCTCTTCCTTTTTTTTTTTTAACTTTAAGAACTTTAAATTTTAGTCTGCATATATTTTTAACACACTTCAAACCATTTAGAAATTTTCTTTGTCTTTGAATCTCTCTTTACTGTATATCTCTCTTTTTCTGACCACACTAGCCTTTAAATTACTGAGCAATATGGGTAGGATTAAAGGCGTGGCTTTGCCAGCTAGATCCAGTCCATTCCTTAGCTTTCCAGCCTCATGGCTGAGGTACTGGCTGTAGCCACGTTTACTGCGACAACTCTATGGCATTTCAAGGTCCCTGCCAGCAAGTGAGCTACAACAGACAACACTCAAGTCCTCTCTCGGTAGCTGGCCCTCCTGCCTCAAACAGTCAGAGTTTGCCCTGGCAGGATGGCCCAGAAAGCTGGCATTTTTAAACAACACAGGTTTTTTCCTGCTGCTGCTGAAAACCGAAAAGCATGCGTTCAGCTTTTCATCAACACCATTTAAGTGTTTCGTGGCAGGACCTCTTAATGAGCTGCAGGCTTTGCAGCTAAAGCTGGGTCAGGAAGCCTCTCTTAGATGAGGCGCTTGCTTGCCTCTAGCAAGCAGAGTAGAACCGAGAAATTGCGGCTACCAAGAAACCAGGCACAATGCTTTCATTTTGTTCTAGAATTACTTCCCAAGCTGTCTCAGGCTTTATGTGGAAGCAGTTGTCCACGTGGGCGCCATATGAAGTAATAAGGGCGGCGGGGCTGCATCCCCAGCACCCCGGCCGCCTGCTCAGCTAGCTGGTACATGTGCAGTGGTGTAGATTGGCAGGGGGACAGGAGCTGAGTGTATCCAGACGCCATCATGCGACCTGGAATGGAAAGAGTTCAGCATATTTCACCTCTCGGGCTGCCTCTCCTCCTGGGAGTTGCATGGTTGCTCACTGGCAAAGAGATCCCACCACTCTTTGTGGCACTTGTGGGCCATCAGCCCTCTGTCAAGGAGACCCGTGAGGAACCTGCATGCAGACTAGCAAGGGCAGGTATGGATGTTGACTCAGTCTTACCTCTGAGCCTCAGGCCCCCCTTTAGTGGTTTATTCCTGGCTAGCTCATTGGGGGTCTTTGATAACCAGATATCAGCTGTAATAGGGACACATCTTTCTAATTTGCCTCCGTTCTTGCCAGGTCATGAAGGAGGGTTCTTTACATTACTGGCCACTCTTGTTCCTCTTCTGCTGGATAGTAACCCAGGAGCTGGGGAAGTTTTCTGATTGGTAGGTTATTGAAAATCTGACCGCAGTTTTCTCTGTCCTTGTTATTTGGCTTCCTTGTTGAGTTTTTTGTTTGTTTATTTTAATATGAGCTTATTCTATTGCCCTCAGTCATCTCCCTGAAGAATAGCTCCCCGCCCCCCCAGGAATCTGGATTGAGTTAGGGATGATTTCAGGGCATCTGGTTATTTTTTTTTTTTTATGCTTCAATGTGAGGAGCGGTTGAAGCCTAATTTATCTTCAAGACTGATATTTTCTTTAATCCAGCTTTGTGGATCATTGTATGGAGGCTTTAAATATAATCTCCCTTCTGTGTCCACTTGTATATTTGTTCAGAACCCAAGAGACAAGGTGCAAATGGTCTGTACTGCCTAAAACCCCAACAAGATATGGATGGCGCAGCCTTATTACCTTGCAGCTCCTTAGTTTTTCTGGTATCAGGGTGAGCGAGGGGAGTTATGGCTACCGAAGCAGCTCATTTCGCCTGGGGATAAGGGGTCTTAAGATTTCATTCAGAATGAAGATTTTAGTGGTCACAATAAGGTTTCAAAGCAATTCTGGATTTCAGAATAGAAAACATTTATCCCAGCATTAGTGGAGTTTATCTACTGTGTTTTATGGTGCGTTTTATTCCGGAGAATCATAAGACTTTTAAGTTGCAGAGTTCAGCCTTCCTCCTCAGTTGGGAAATGCTCTTTGATATTCCAGTTGGTGCAGCCTTTGAGGAGCCACCTGCAGTGACTCACTTTGTCCCTGGGCGGTTGATTCCATTTTGCACAAATTTCACTCGTTATAAAAATCTGTTGCATAACGAGCTGAGATGTGCCTCTTCATTGTGATGGATCTGCATCTTGTTCTCGGGAAGCTTTATCAATTAGCCACCGTCACAGCAATGTTGTAGGAACACTCAGGAGGAAAGCGGTGGCAAACAGCAGTGGGCATTGATTCTTATCCTCACAGATCCATTCATCGACTGCAGGTTGACTGATGTGGGCTAGATATGTTGACCACATGGCTGTGCTCCTTGCTTTCAAGTGGTGGGGCTTGGCTCTTTACTTGTAGACTTCCTGTGTATGTTAATTCTTAATCTTGACATCAGCTTCTTATCACCAAAATAGTAGTGACAGAAGACAAGCCTGTCTAGAATGGCACCTTTTAACACCTGTGTGGCTTGTATTAACAAGTCACATAATGGAGCCCGGTGTCAAGAGATAGCCTCTGGTTGCGCAGAGGGAACTGTAAAGTCAGTGCCAAAGGACATGGATCCAGAGAGGGATATGGAACAGGAGACAATTTCAGTTTGTCATGGCAGCTGGAAAGAGGCTCGCTCAGGTCTATGGCACAGCCTTGATATTCTTAGAGGCAGTTATAGTTATTAGGAGTTATATGTTCTACCAATAGATACCTACTGTTAGTATGAGTCTACAAGTGCTACTCACTTCGCATTCCTCCTTGAGCATCTTAGAATTGGTTCTCATACTTTCAGGAGGGCTATATTTCTTCCACAGATATGCTCTATTTGTATATAGTCTCCTTTAGTATGGAGTCTCCCATGCTGAGTGTAGATGGAGTCTGTCCATATACAGGACCCTCCCATATTACAGAGTTTCTGCCTCAGCTGAGACAAACCCTGTCTTAGGTGAGGTTATTTCCCATCCCATGTTACCTGTAGGGACTGTGGTTGACTCCCTTCTGAGGCTTTTAATCCCTTGCCTCCTTTAAGGTTCTGCACTTAGAGATAAGCAATCTACCAGGTAGAAATGCTCCCTGCATAGGACCATCGATCTCCTGATCTCCTCATTCTTCCAGTGCCACCATGAGGAGGGATTTTAGCCCCAGTTATGGAAATCTTTCTCAGAACTTTGAGAAGGGATGTGGCTTTCTCAGAGTCACCCTAACCTGTCCCTGAAGTGGGACTTTATTTCCAGCCTCCCTATTAGGTACCATGTATGGATGTGACATGTTTTCAGAGGGCATTTTCTCTCTTTGTCTCTGTCTGCTGCCCACTGTGGGTCTCTAGGCTCCTTCATGATGGTGAACAGCTCCGGAAGGGCTTCCGGCCAGAAAGCGCACCTTCTTCTGCCGACCCTGAAGGAGAATGACACCCACTGCATTGATTTCCACTACTACTTCTCCAGCCGAGATCGCTCCAGCCCCGGAGCCTTGAATGTCTACGTGAAGGTGAACGGTGGTCCCCAAGGGAACCCTGTCTGGAACGTGTCTGGGGTTGTCACCGAGGGCTGGGTGAAGGCAGAGCTTGCCATCAGCACCTTCTGGCCTCATTTCTACCAGGTATGTCACTTAACCTTGCTCTCTTTCTAGTAGCTAATGGTTACGTATCTTTATACCTCTTGCCTTTCCTAGAGTGGGTAGATCTAGAAAGGACCTGATTTATTTACTCATTCAGCTCCTGCTGAAGACACTTTTCCAGAGATGCAGAGAAGACCCAGCATAGCCCCTGCCTCCCTGGAGGTCATCAGGAGGGGACCGATGTGTCGATAAGCAGTGGCAGCATAGCAGGGTTCATGTGGAGACATGCAGACCCTGGAGCCTCTTGTAAACTAACCACTGGATTCCACACATGATAAGGTTGAGGTCCAGAGAGGTAAGCCGACTAGTCAGGTGCAGGTTATTTGGTTGAAGGGACAATAGGGTAGTGTCTACGATGAGAAGACAGTTGGGCCCGATTTGGAAGGTTGAATTCAGATAGATTGGAAAGAGAGGGGAAGACATCTGAAATACCTGGGAAAGAGAATGATGCAGGACACAGAGCATGAGAGAGTGAGAGATTTTGAGGAATCTGGAAACTACATTTTCTTTCTTTCTTTCTTTTTGGTTTCCTTACTATTGTTTGTTTTTGGTGGTTGTCCTCCCACCCACCCCCATTTTGGGACAGGGTCTCACACTATAGTCCAGCATAACTTGGATCTCACAATATATCTCTGGCTGGCTTTGAACTTATATCAATCCTCTTGCTTTAGATTCCCAAGTGCTGGAATTCAAATGTACTTAATCATGCCCAGCATAAACTAAGACCTTTAAGGATGTCTTGCAGAAGAGACATACAGGGATGTCTCTTACAGAACATGTAGGTCATGGGGTTTTGAAGGCCAGGCTAACAAGCCCATATTAGAGCAGTGCTTCACAAACCTCCATTTGGGAAGGAAGGACCACGTTTTCCTAATTCATTGCCGACCAATACTTCTATAAGACACATTAAACTATGTCGTTGTGATGCCAGATTGTTACGTCTGCTTGGAACCCCATTCTTACTTGCCCTACTTATCTCACTGTGGATGAAGACAAATGGTACAGACCCACACGACTCCCCAGAGTGTTTGCAGGGGTACAGCTCCAGACAGGTGTTAGTCGAAATTGTTGAGAAATTTTCCTTAAAAAAACATCATTAGTTAAAATGTCCATATCATGGAATTGACGTGTGTTTACGTGTGCAATCTAGCGCCTTTTCTAAGTAAAAGCTACTGTGTTCTGTATTCACCACAATCATCCATTTTTAGAACATTTCCTTCATCTCCCGAACTCCCTTGTATACCCTCTCTGTCCCCATTCCCAATGATGAAAGTTCTCAAGTAAGGAAGGGCCACCAATCTGCGTTTTGGAGATGATTTCTGGTGTCTGAAGCAGAAGATAGACCCAGGGGTGGCAGATGAGTGGCCAGGGCTTCCTAGATGGCCCTGAGTTTCACACCCAGTTTGCAGTTCTTTCAGCCAGTCGGTGTTCAGAAACTGAGTTCTCTCCTGAGCTGGCTTGTTTACGTGAATGAGGCAGTTTCAGCCCTATTTCTTCTTTGCTTTGGCAACTAAAAATCAGCATTTAATACTCAATTACCTTCAATACTTAGCCTAGATTTTTTGCCACATCTATTTCCCATTTTATCTCCAGTGGCTTGTGATTTGTTTTTAGAGTGACTGCATTGTCCTCTGTTAGGCCTTTCCTGTAATTCCTCTAGGACTGGAGGGGAGAGAATGATGATGGTCACGATGGTGATGCTGAGGGGATGGTGATAATGATGATGATAATGGTGATGATGGTGATGGTGCCTACCATTTAGTGAGTGCTATGTTACAGGCGCAGCACAAAATAGCCTTTTAGAAATTCAGAGGTGAGTCAGGCAGAGCCTGGCTGTCTGGTAATGAGTGTGGACTGTACTCATTTTGTATCAGGTAAAGCACCTACTCCCTCTGTGAGAGCAGTAATGTCTTATCAAGAAAAGTGGCTAAAAAGAGAATATAATGGTTTTAACATGTGTATCATTAACACTGGGACTTTTTTTTTTTATTGTAGATGTCTTGAGAAAGGTGCCTTTGGCCTCCTTAGTTCTTTGTCTTTTCTCCCCTTGCAAAGAGGTTTTTAAGTAGTACCAAGTCCACAAACCCTGCTCTGGCTTCATGGTGTCAGCTATGTTTCAGAGTTCACAGTATTTGCAATTCACAAGGTTATAACATTTGCATTCACTGTGTGCTTTGTAAGTCACACCCAGCATAGGCTCTCTTCCTTGTGCACCAGAGTCAAGTGCACAGATACCCAGACTGTACATTTTACGCATTTTCACAAGGTATGGCATAAATTAAGGCTGTGTATTTTATCTGACCAGTGCAGCTTAGCTTTTATCACTAACTTACATTATAAAATACCCATGTGACATAGGTTGTTTCAGTGCATGCTGGGTATCTAAGTCGCCCTTGGGATGTCACCCCCCAGTTTTGTACTGGCACAGTTTCATGGATGAGGGGAATTCTTTTTGCTATTTTAGGAAGAACTTGTACTAGTTGTTTTGTGAGATGCTCCTTGGTGAAGGTGAAATGGTCCAGGATTTGGAAAACTCTGTGGTATCTTTATTTAGGAAATAGAGCCAGTCAAGTAGGATTCTAGGGAGCCAGAAAAAAATCTGTAAATTAGTATTTAATCTACTGTCTGCTATGGAAGTTTGACCTTTACCTGACTTTAGCATGTAAACATCATAGCATAGAGGTAATATCCTAAGAGTGGTATCCCAGCTTCCTGATTTATCTGAGATAGCCAAGGTTTAGTCCCCTTATCTTGGTGAATTCTTATGCATCATGGAGACCATTTGGGATTGCTAAATTACACAGTCTATAGAGATTTAGAGCATGTTCGTTGGCACAAGTGGTTTTGGCTTATCCCTTTTGTGCACCAGATAGAATATGTTTTAGTTTGGTGGGCCGTAAGTGTCTGTTATCACTACCTAACTCTGTTGTTGCACCATGAAAGCAGACATTCACAATATGTAAATGAATAAATGTAGCTGATCCAATAAAGTTTTACATGTAACAATGGCTGATGGCTGAGTTTTGATTCCCGGGCCTTAGTCTGCCACACTCTGATGTGAATGAGGCTGAGATGCACTATGAAGTTCAGCAGCACATAGAAAAGCATAGACAAATCTCCAGCCACAACTGAAATTTCTGGTCTGTAGTGTTCCCAGTGTACCACTGAGTGTGAACATCTGCTATCTCCACAAACTCACAAACACTCCCACTGAGGCCTTAGGCTTCAATCAGACAACCTTTTTTAGAGCCTACTGTGAGTAGGAGCAGGAGAGGGTCACGGCTTGAAGTACACTAAACAGGACAGTTGACCCAGAAAAGGGTCCATCGCCCTGCTCTTTGATGGAAATTGGGGAAGAAAGGATATTTGATGAGCTCCCATCTCCCTGGCCCTGTGGTAGGCCTATTTCTGTATCCGTGTATTTGTACAGAAGCTCCCTGTTTTGACTGGCAGCAGCTCTAGCCTTCTAGCATAGGAGACATTATTAGTAAATCAGATTTCCCATAATTCTGACTGAGTTCTCTAGCTCCATGCTCTGCATCTTCTGTTTTGAGGAAGCATTATATCTATTCTGGAAACCTGCTGTTCTCTAACTATGTGATGCTGGTTGTGCCCCGTCATCTATCACATAGGGTTCCAATTGTCTCACATGTAAGATAGAAAGAGGAACAGGTGGGTACCAGAAGTGGTCTCTCTGTAATGTAAAGTAGATCATATATGGAGAGGCATGTCAGGTTTGAAGTGATTGGAAGGAGGAAGGAACAGAAATAGAGGGAAAAGAAGGGAAGGGAGGAAGCCATCCCTGAAGAGCAACACTGCTTTGGTGGGCTTGTCTTCTGTGGCCTCTGGGCTTTTTCTTAAGTAGGTAGCCTTGCCCAGAGACTTCCAAACAGCTTTCATCACCCTCACATTCCCTTGGCTCTGAGGTGTGAGGACAAATCACTCATGTGTTGAGAGCAGTGCTGGAAAAAGCACGTTACCCCTGTGTACACTCAGCCATTTCTGGGCACTCATGTGACCACTAGCACAGTTAAGCACACACAGACACCTAAATTCCTGTGTCTGCCCAGATTCAAATGCTCAAATACACACGGTCGGGGTAGACTAAGAAGAAAGGGGACCCTCAAGAGACTCAAAGATGTGAGCAAAGACTTCAGGCTCCAGTCCTGCAGATAGATCCTGTGGATGGAGTCAAATTCAGATTTCACCATTGCTGGGTTTTGGACCTTATGGGTTTGTGTATTCATTTATTAAAGTCATATTTCACAGCCCTAAAATTGACTTTAGCTCTGTAATAAACAAAAATGTCATCTTTCATGTTATTGGACTTTTGATGGCTGGGCCTTCAGCAGGGCCCCAGGTGAGAAAAATCCCTTTGCTGGCCACACATTCCACCCCACCCCTGTCTCCCTGCCCTGGAATGCTGGTTTAATGACTGAATTTTTGTGCTTCTGGTCTATGCAACTTTCCAGGTAATATCAATTCGTTTTCATATTTTAGTGGCTCTGAACTTTTCTGCCCTAATATTTAGAGAAAAAATAACACTGTTACTAATTTTTCAGCCAGCTGCCTGCTCTTCTCTCTGTTTCCTGCCTTAGTAAAATGGCCATTTATTCAGCCCTGAGCAGTGTCAATAGACCCTTGAAATGAAGGACTCACCTGACTGGTGGAATTCTCCTCAGAGCTCAGTCCCTTTCTCAAGATCTACCTGGCTCCTGGCACTGTAGGTTTAGCATCGACAGTGACAATTCAGGAGGTTTTGTCACACCTGTGCACCCTCCCTCTCACCCTTTGACTCCCACCCTATCTCCTGGCCCACACTCTAGCTCTTGACTCCCACCCTATCTCCTGGACCACACTCTAGCTCTTGACTCCCACCCTATCTCCTGGCCCACACTCTAGCTCTTGACTCCCACCCTATCTCCTGGCCCACACTCTAGCTCTTGACTCCCACCCTATCTCCTGGCCCACACTCTAGCTCT